GGGGGGGGGGGCAACTCCAGGTCCCTGACGCAATACGGGGCCGCTGTGGCGGTGGGTGGAGGGAAGAGCAAGGCAGACTGTATCTTAGTCAGCTTTGCCCGCCCCTTAGTTTTGCTGGACACTTCTAATTGTGTTTGTTTTCGCTCGTCCGTTCAACTGGTTCAACCTTTTCCATTTTCTTTGTCGCAGATCCAAAATGACCACCTACTTCAACTACCCCGCCCCCGCCCTCCAGGAGGAGCTGCGCAAGATTGCCCAGGCCATCGTCGCCCCCGGCAAGGGCATCTTGGCCGCCGATGAGTCCACCTCCACCATGGGCAAGCGCCTCCAGGACATCAAGGTGGAGAACACCGACGAGAACCGCCGCAAGTACCGCCAGCTGCTCTTCACCACCGACCCCAAGCTCGGCGAGAACATCTCCGGCGTGATCCTGTTCCACGAGACCCTGTACCAGAAGACCGACGACGGCACCCCCTTCGTCGAGCTGCTGGCCAAGCGCAACATCATCCCCGGCATCAAGGTCGACAAGGGTGTCGTTGACCTCATGGGCTCTGAGAACGAGTGCACCACCCAGGGTCTCGACGACCTGGCCCAGAGGTGCGCCCAGTACAAGAAGGACGGCTGCCACTTCGCCAAGTGGCGTTGCGTTCTCAAGATCGGCAAGAACACCCCCTCCTACCAGGCCATCCTGGAGAACGCCAACGTTCTCGCCCGTTATGCCTCCATCTGCCAGGCCAACCGCATCGTCCCCATCGTTGAGCCCGAGGTACCGATCTGTCACTAATAGTTTGTTTTCTCTCCCTTTTACTGATTGCACGATTAACGTAACCGTACTCTTCCTGCTCTAGGTTCTCCCCGATGGTGACCACGACCTGGACCGCGCCCAGAAGGTCACAGAGACCGTCCTGGCCGCCGTGTACAAGGCCCTGAACGACCACCACGTCTACCTTGAGGGAACCCTCCTGAAGCCCAACATGGTCACCCCCGGCCAGTCCTGCCCCAAGAAGGCCACCGCTCAGGAGATCGCCTGTGCCACCGTCACCGCCCTGAACCGCACCGTGCCCGCTGCCGTGGCCGGTATCACCTTCCTGTCTGGCGGTCAGTCCGAGGAGGAGGCCTCCGTCAATCTGGATGCCATCAACAAGTTCAATGGCAAGAAGCCATGGCCCCTTACCTTCAGCTACGGCCGTGCCCTCCAGGTGAGAATATACTGACTCGCACAACTGCAGTTCCATGTGGTAAGCAGTGTCCTAATTTTAATTTTCTGATCACAGGCCTCCGTGCTCCGCGCATGGGGTGGCAAGGACGAGACTGTTGCTGCCGGTCAGAACGAGCTTCTGAAGCGTGCCAAGGTAAGACATTGCATGTGTTCATTTCATCAACTGCATTAGTTTCCTATAATTACAATGTTTTCTTTTAATCTTATTGCTTGCTATTAACTCGTGGCTTGTATATTTTTAATCTAAAGTTCTTTATTCTTTTTCTGTTAGTATTTAAAGCACTTTTCTTAGTCCCTTTTTTTGTTTCCTATTTTTTGTATGGCTTCCCTCTTTGCACTTGCTTTTCGTATCCATGCTTACCATGAGTATTTTCCACAGGCCAACTCTCTTGCTTGCCAAGGCAAATACGACGCTGGCAGCATCAGCTCTCTTCAAGGAGCCCAGTCCAACTTTGTCAAGGCTCACGCTTACTAGACATCACCTCACCTCACATTCCTTAACATGCTTTACTTTAATGAACTTCAAAACCTGCAATGTTTTAATTTTTATTGAATTTTTAAGAGTCTATTTTT